GGTTTGTTAAAAATAATGTAATTTTTGATTGAGGTCCTCTCTCTTGTAAACTTCCGTTTTTTCTTCTCTATCAAGTTTAATGAAGAGAGAATCATAAAAACAATGGTCTACTTGATATGAAAAGGCGTGAAAGTAAAACATGGTAAACTAACCTTTGTTACATGAGAAACCCGGCACCATGTGACCGCACCCAAGCACCCGATGATGAGAGAGGTGAGGATGAAGCATTTCCAGTTGGTCTCCCTCAACAGAGCCCCGCATAGCGTCTGCTCCGCAGGATATAACTGAAATAAAAACAAATAAAGATACGAGATATAATATTTTCGAAAAATAAAACGGAAAATAATATCAAACAACATCACTTTTTTCTATCCGAGCATCGTGCGATCTCAATCCAACGGACTCGACAATCTTGGACGGGAGATCAGATGGTGATGGATAGGACTGAGAAAGTTGGAGAACGAATATAAGAGGGAGATGGAGGGATGGAATAAAAGTAGAAGGGAAGATGAGAGCAAAATGGAAAAAAGACGCTGTACTTCGACAAATATACGCTTCGTCCGGGGTTTCTTTTTCTTCTTCTTCTTCTTCTTCTTTTTCTTTTTATCTGTTTATTCTTTTTTTTGGCATGTGTGAAATTCTCTGTAGGCTCCACTTGGAGATTGTGGGTTTTGTTGCATCTGTTCTGGTTGACGTGCGCGTCGCACAGAGCAGTTGAGTTGTTAGCGTGTTTTCCTCTTAGTTGCCTCAATGCTCTTAAAATGTGCAAGAAAAATTCAAAAGGAAGTCTATAAGTGTATTAGAATAAACGAAATTAAAATGATAAAAATGAATTATAAATACGCCGCAAAAAATGTAGGGCCTATTTGAACCCTTTGTTGCACGAGTCAGTCATCATTTTCAGAGATAAAAATCTACATTCTATATCGTTCTCAGGATTATAGGAATAGATCAAGTTCCAATTTAAATTTTTTTTTTTTGAAACTTTAGAGATCAGACCTCTAATCCTCTCCAAAAACCACGTGTTGCTTTAGCGCAATTCAATGCCACAGAGGATCAAAGCCAAAAAAATATTTGTTGTTTTCATTAAGCACATTCTAGAACGCCTCAGGGGACGATGAATTTTGGGATTCCCTATAAAGCTTTAAAATACCTCATATAATTTTCAAACTTGGACGATCTCTAATCAGAACTACACCTTATTGTGAGTAAGTATATTTTATTCGTAGAATTCTACCCAAAGTCTCAATTATACCATTTCTTGATAGGATAAAAACATAAAATGATATCATTCGATATCATCAGTGAATCATAACAGTTCCATCTTTCAATCAATCAGTCTTGATATTTTTTGATTAAAAATAAAGTAATCTTAAAGAGCTTTTTCAAGAGTGCAAATTAAAACCTGGACTTAAAGAAAGTAATGATTGGTTTTATTTCATGATAGTATGATTTGAAATTTGTGACGTTGTAGAATTGTGGCTTATTAGTTTCACCATGAATACAGGCTTACACACGGAAAAAATTGATTCTTGATTTAACAATTAAATTGTTGAAAAAAAGTGACAAACTTGTTTCAAGTGTACAGTTTACAATAGTGGAAAGCTAGTTTAACCACGGGGGTGGTTAGATTAGCATTTTTTAATTGTAAAATCTACATCGAGACATTTCTTTCACTATTTTTAACTACAAAATTGTTAAATCAGCAATTTCATTTTTTCCGTGCAGATCTTAATAATTATTTCCATCCACTTTGATGGCCACTGCCGGATTCCCGCTCCTTGATAAAAGATAATGAATTCTAGGTTTTAAAAACATAGCAGCCATTATTACTAAATTATCACCATTTTTAATGGCCTAGGCTCTCAAATCGCCGTAATTCTTATTTTAACTCCATACCTTCGACCTCGGCTTTTTTGCTAATGTTTACGTCCAATTAAAACTTGGTTAGGCGAACATTGTCGGAGTGAAAAAGTTATGAATTACCTACTTACAAGATCCCATCTCTGCAGAGAATAGTTCCCTTCTTATTACTCTTGAAATGTGGGGCGAACAAATTGAGACCCTTGCTGAAGCGAAAAATGCTTGTAAAACTTCCGAGCTCGTTTCAAATCCTATTTCTAGAAAACATCATTCTAACTTAACAGCATTCATTGGCGTCTTGAAGAGGTTTTCAAGATTCTCACGTTTTAATTAACTAGATTGGACACTCGAAAAGCAAACTCCAGGAGGGACCAGTGATACAATCTACTTCTACAATCTACTTCTACAATCTACTACAAGAATAAGATTGGCTAAGTATTTCCCTTAGACCGTATGACAAAATTCAAGAGCATATGGAAAAAAGCCTTCAATTTTTGTAATACTTTCCGCGCAACATTGTAGTTTAAATGTTTGCATCCAGAATTCTTGTTTCGTTGGAGAGTCAATAAAACCTTCGTCTTTAGATTTTTTTCAATGTCTTAAAGAAATTTCACTTATATTTTCGTATAATCAACGATTTTTCTTTAAATATTTGTAAAGTTGATTCACAGGACAGAGTTTCGGCAGTCGAATAATTTGGTAACTTGATTACAGATCTTTGAATTTGGTGTTTTCAACCAAAATGAACAAAAAAAAAAAAACCTAAATCCTGACCCGCTTATAAGTATAGGTAAATTTTATTTCATTGAAGCAAATAAAAGCCTCGATAAATTAATGTTTTACAATATTTTGATCGTGTACAACATCTTGGCAGTGAAATGCATGACTCACTGCCAGTTAATTTGAGAGGAATAGAATTATGTTGAAATTCGCATCATCGAGATCAATTCGCATAATTTTTGGGGGAGAAAAAACGACGAGTAACGTGTTACAATATCAAATCAATATGTTTTATGCATTAAATGTTTTACCTCATTAAAGACCTATGACGCAGGCACTATATCTGTTGTAGTTTAGTATTCATATCTGAATGTATATATCGTAGAAAATGTTCTTCTGCACAAAACAGCAAGTATTCAAATCAGGCATTTTATCAAATGCCATCGGCAAATAGTCGACTTTTGATGGTCTACGAAGTTTTGTATGTTTTTAACGAGGACATCTAGAGTTTTCAATGTTTTGAAAGTAAGAATTCATTGAGTCTACGAACTTTTCCTGTATTATTCGCTCCAAATGCTCCTCATTTATTTTAACTGTCAACGTCATAAAAATTCTGTAGAGAATGACATGCTGAAAATCCCGAGATAAAAGATCTTTCAAGGACTATAGATCCACTTCATTTACAATTGTATGACGCCAATTTGTACAGAAACTTCTTTTATGAAGGGAAATTATGTATGAGCAAGTAACCATCTCGTCCAATGATATAGCAACATACCAATATCCGAGTAAGAAATTTTGACTATTTGCCGAGGCATTTGACAAACTACCTGATTTTACCATTTCTTTCAACCGTCAATAATTTTTCATAGCGTCTAATTTCGCTTGTACATAAGACTGAGAGGAGGAGTGAGCCGACAACACTGTGTCATTATTCCCCATTTCTTTGTCGCGTTGCAGGTGCCCCCTCCTTCCCCCGCCCCCTCGATCCGCCTAAAATATATGTCCCGCTTCCGTTGCTCAATTGTCACCGCTGAAAGGCGACTCGGCGAAAAAAGCCCCCGCGATACCATTCTGATATACACTCGTGTACACTATTATCAAAGATTGATGAGGAGTATCGCCCGAACCTCCGACGATGTTCCGTTCCACATTGATTTAAGCTTCCTCGTTAATCCCGGGGCCTAGGAGGAAAAAAAAACGGTCATCAAGGACCGCTATTAAATCACGGCGGAATATATACACATATATAACTTCAGATGAGGCGTCCATTCGTCCATTCGCTCCATCCCTCATTCGCGAGAAGTTCATTTTCGGATGGGCCGTGAAACGCGTCAGGGTACTCATGTTGCGTGGCTCGCATAAAAAAGGATAGGTACATTTTATACGAGCGGCTGTTAATGTGTCCTCTCTTCTCTCTCCCAATCTCCCCCCCCCCCNCCCTCTTACTCCCTCTCTAGCCCCCTCTGTACCCCCCTCTCTACCCCCCGCCCCTCTCTCCAATTAGATGCACGTAAACGAACGGCTGCGTTTCCTAATTAAAGTTTGATTAACGATCGTAAATGTTCAACAAAGTATGATTACAAAATTTATACCGGCCAGTTTCGCTGACGACGCATGAATGGGTGTAGGATTCTGTTAATAGATTTTGAGAGAGATCGAGTCGGAGTGAAGTAAGACAAACTTCTATTTCATAATTTAACGATCTTTTCTGATCTTTAATGAGGTTTTAAGACCTCGAGGTGGTCTGGAATAGAAATCCGAGAGAGCTACGCGATTTGCGATTCGAAAAGTGTTAACAACCGCGAAATTCAGAGATTCTCGTTGTCAAATCACCGACTGACGTAGACCGACTGACCTGCCCACGTAGCTGAGTGGGTTTATTGCTCTACTAGCGAGAGGAAGAGGGGGGGAGAGAAAAAAAAGAGGAGGAGAAGAATTAAAAAAAAAAAAAATCAAACGTCAGGTTATACTCCTCAATCATCATTTACAAGGATGACCCTTGTATTTTACCTTTGTACGTCGTTTGTACACGGAGAAAAAAACTTCGTGCGTGGGACCCGAAGTTTAGGTCGTATGGATCTCTGAAATTTTCGGATTGAGCATCTGAACACTTTAGGTCCAGCTGCTGAGGTTTTGATCACACATCTGAAACTTCAGTCCTTACATCTGAAGTACTTCGGTTTTCACATCCGAAAAACTTCGGTTCTCACATCCGAAAAACTTCGAATCTCACATCCGAAAAACTTCGGTTCTCACATCTGAAGTACTTTAGATGTAAGAAATGAAGTTTCAGATGTGTGATCCGAACCTCGACAGCTAGACCTAGAGTGTTCAGATGCTCAATCCGAAAACTTCAGAGATCCATATGACCTAAACTTCGGGTCCCACGCACGAGGTTTTTTTCTCCGCGTATGTCGTTTGTGAGTCCTCTGAATCTATGATGCAATCTCTTCGCTTTAACCTCGAAAATATCAGTCTCCGGGAAAAATCCAAGAGGGGGCAAAATCGCTTTTATTATAACTCTCTTTCACTTCGCATCCAAATCCCTCGGGGTTTTGGGCGCTCTTTACAGACTCCAGCACCGAATTTCGCTCCAAAATTTTTATCAGTGTAAAGTTAGGGAAGAAGAAAAAGAAGCCTGGCGCCGGACAAACGACGGGGCGACCGTTCGGAGCTCGCTTTATTTCCCGGGGATCTG